CACATATATTTCAGATGTTAACAATATTGTTTTAACTTAAGTAACAATTTATGGTTTGACCAGTTACAAAGTAATCATTTAAGAGTTTAAAACAGGAACAAACCCTAATTCCTTTAATACTTAGTTTCACAAATAATAAAATCAACAAATAYAAGAAATTTTGTTTATATAAGAGCAGATCTGAGTTTCAGACTTTGTTTCCTATCTGTACATTAAAATTCAATAACTTTAATGACTGTGCTAATTATAGCCAATTTAAACACAAACACAAACTTTTTGAGATTTACCTTCCACAAACATTCTGCAACTTACTTAGACAATCACAACCTTACATATTAGTTTTGTCCCGTTTCATGTTGGACTTTGGGGCAGAGCCCGGGAGCAACAGTTAATAGGGGAGAGTAGCAGTGAGCTGGCCCCAGGTCTCTGAATCCCAGGCCTGGCTGTCCAGACCCTTGTCCCACAGCAAGTCCTGGCCCTCACCTACTCCCCTCTGTCTGTAAAGATCAAGTGTGTGACCTTGACCATGGCACACCAGTCTTCCCTGTGTGTGGATGCACAGACACAGGACTTGACTGTCACAGGAGGCTGGAGAGACTCTTGACACTGCTCCCACCTCAAGTGACAAATGKTGCTTGTCCTCCCAGGTTTGGAGGGCTGGGAGCCATCACGTGTAGAGCGTTCCTTGTGGAGTCCTGTGCTGGGGACATTGCACACCTCATCTCTTGGGTCCCAAGGCCCCTTCCATGAGTCAGGGAGCTTTTGCCCAGTCTATCATTACCAAGGCTGAGACTTCTGGGCTCAGGGATCACCCAAGGTCACAGTGTCTAAGAACAGGCAGGCTGGGGTTGCAGCCCAGGTGTGACGCAGTTCCCCTTCCCCACAGCAYGTCTCAGAAGCCCACATCTCTCTTCTACTTATGAAGAAAAATTTGAGTTTGGCAGAACACTCCTTGTGGCCCTTGAGCCTGGCCACAAGGGCAGGGGCTGGAATGCAGGTAAAGGCTTCCTGTTCTCTAGGGTGCTCYWGATCTCCCTCAGTAGATCAGGTAACTCAYTAGAGTTGCAGGGCCCAGGKAGGGGWCCTGKYGTTCTC